GGCGGGAGTCAGGGCAGCAGGGTGGCCAGGCGGGAGTCAGGGTGGCGGGAGTCAGGGCAGCAGGGTGGCCAGGCGGGAGTCAGGGTGGCGGGGTGGCCAGGCGGGGTCAGGGCAGCGGGAGTCAGGGCAGCAGGGTGGCCAGGCGGGAGTCAGGACAACGGGAGTTAGGGCGGTGGGAGTCAGGGTGGCGGGGTGGCCAGGTGGGAGTCAGGGTGGCGGGGTGGCCAGGTGGGAGTCAGGGTGGCGGGGTGGCCAGGGGGGAGTCAGGGCGGCAGGGTGGCCAGGCGAGAGTCAGGGTGGCGGGAGTCAGGGCGGCGGGAGTCAGGGCAGCAGGGTGGCCAAGCGGGAGTCAGGGCGGTGGGAGTCAGGGCAGCAGGGTGGCCAGGCGGGAGTCAGGGCGGCGGGGTGGCCAGGCGGGGTCAGGGTGGCGGGAGTCAGGGCAGCAGGAATCAGGGCGGCGGGATGGCCAGGCGGGAGTCAGGGTGGCGGGGTGGCCAGGCAGGAGTCAGGGTGGCGGGGTGGCCAGGCAGGAGTCAGGGCAGCAGAGTGGCCAGGCGGGAGTCAGGGCGGTGGGAGTCAGGGCGACAGGTCTGCAGGTGGTGGGCCCGCTATTTGGTACGCTTTGTTTCCCAGTTCAGGACATATTTTCTGTGGCAGTTCCAACTTTCCTCCACCTCCTGCTTTTCTTGCACACCCCTGCTCCACCGCGCTGGCATTCCCTCCCCCCACAGCTCCCTGTGTCACAGCCTTCATGCTGCTCTGCTGACAGGCACCCGGGGATTGCCACGCCACATGCCCGCCCTCCGTCCCAGAGCTCTCCATGCTGCTGGCGAGGTTGCTGTGGCGGGACCATTCCTGTGACCCAGTTGGGTCTGGCCTATGCGCTCCACCTGGGAACAGAGAACCAGAACGGTGGGCATCTCTGTCCCTCGTGGAGCCAGCCATTCAGGGAGTAGACGGGGCCAGGGGAGCCTGAGCTGAGCCCCAGAGCAATGGCAGAATCGTTGAGTCAAGAGACAGATGGGGGACTTTGAGAAACAGAGGTGGAGTAAGAGGTCTGTTCATAAGGCACAAGAGCATCCATATTGGGGCACAGGGAGATAATAGTGGGGCAGCATGTTCCTCACATGGTCTGGATGTGTGTGGCCCTGGAGCGCCCAGGGACCACCGACTGTCCATTTTCACATGTGGGAAAATGGGAGCCACCATAATTCTCTGCCTGCCCTCCAGACCAGAACAAGGGTAGGCCTGGCCCCTGACAGCTACACTGTCTGCTCACCGAAAGCTAGAGCGGAGTCACCCAGGACACCTGCGTGGCTGCCTTGGAAGTTCCCAGGTCCGCTGTGCTGTGTTAATCCAGAGACGGCCCATCCTGAGTGGAGTGGGCTGGCTGCGCTGCCGCTGCCCGCAGTGCCCTGCTCACACTGACGCCAGCTAACCGACGGCTCTTTCTCTCCTTCTGTTGCAGACTCAGTTTTCAGATAAGCCTGTCCAAGATCGAGGTCTGGTGGTGACAGACCTCAAGGCAGAGGATGTGGTGCTGGAGCATCGCAGCTACTGCTCGGCGAGAGCCCGGGAGAGAAATTTTGCTGGAGATGTTCTAGGCTACATTACTCCAGTAAGTTGGGGCCCTGTGGTATGGAGGGACAGGCTTCGACCCTGGGCTCCTCCCAGCCCCCGGGACTGGCTGACTGCCTCCTAGCCTAGGCTCTGCTCTCTTGGCTGTTGCTTCCGAAAGGCTGCCGTGGGAGCAGTGCCATCCTGGAGGTGGCAGAATAAAGGACAGCTCCCTGAGCCTCCAGAGGGGCCCTGGGGCGTCCTGGACCTAGCTGCCATCCCAAGAGGTACATACGCACTAGTTTAGGTGGAGGGTTGTCACCCTGGGCGCAGGGGACACCAACGAGGATCTTGGGCTGTGGCCGCAGTCCCAGCAGCTCGAGGGTGGCAGGGCGGCCCAGCCGGTGTCACTCAAGCTCCGCCCCGGGCTATCCAGAGCCAGGGAGCAAGGGAGCGAGGAGCGGCAGCAGGTGTGAACTCACCTGCGCTCACCCCTCCCCCCGCCAGTGGAACAGCCATGGCTACGATGTCGCCAAGGTCTTCGGGAACAAGTTCACACAGATCTCGCCGGTCTGGCTGCAGCTGAAGAGACGTGGCCGGGAGATGTTCGAGATCACAGGCCTCCACGACGTCGACCAAGGTCCTCCTGTCTCCTCTTTTGCCTTTGTTTTTCCTTGGGGCTGAGAAGAGTGTGCATGGGTGTGTGTGACAGAACATGTGACTTGGGGTGTGTCGGTGGCTGCTGAGGTCAGGGTGTGCGTGTGGGTGTGCGTGTCTGAGGGTGATGAACATTTAGCCTACCCCTCATGCTGCATAGCCGAGCCCAGAGTGCAGGCTAGTGTGCGGGCTGGTGTGTGGGCTGTTGTGCAGGCCAGGTGTGAGTGGACCAGGTGTGAGTGGGGCCTAGCAGCCCGCAGCGTAAGCCCCACAGTGCTCCCACTATGGTGTTCCCCACCACGATGCTCCCCGCCACGGTGCTCCCCGCCACGGGGCTGCCCACCACGGTGCTCCCCGCCACGGTGCTCCCCGCCACGGGGCTCCCCGCCACGGTGCTGCCTGCCACGGGGCTGCCTACCACGGTGCTCCCTGCCACGGTGCTCCCCGCCACGGGGCTGCCCGCCACGGGGCTCCCCGCCACGGTGCTCCCCGCCATGGTGCTCCACCATGGTGCTCCCCACCATGGTGCTCCCCACCACGGGGCTCCCCACCACGGTGCTCCCCGCCATGGTGCTCCACCACGGTGCTCCCCACCACGGGGCTCCCCTGTACGGTGCTCCCCACCACGGTGCTCCCCACCACGGGGCTCCCCGCCACGGTGCTCCCCGCCACGGTGCTCCCCGCCATGGTGTTCCACCACGGTGCTCCCCACCACGGTGCTCCCCGCCACGGTGCTCCCCACTACGGTGCTCCCCACCACGGTGCTCCACCATGGTGCTCCACCACGGGGCTCCCCACCACGGTGCTCCCTGCCATGGTGCTCCACCATGGTGCTCCCACCACGGGGCTCCCCGCCACGGTGCTCCCCGCCATGGTGCTCCCCACCATGGTGCTCCCCGCCACGGGGCTCCCCGCCACGGTGCTCCCCGCCACGGGGCTCCCCGCCACGGGGCTCCCCGCCACGGTGCTCCCTGCCACGGTGCTCCACCATGGTGCTCCCCGCCATGGTGCTCCCCGCCACGGTGCTCCCCGCCACGGGGCTCCCCACCACGGGGCTCCCCGCCACGGTGCTCCCTGCCATGGTGCTCCACCATGGTGCTCCCCACCACGGGGCTCCCCACCACGGGGCTCCCCACCACGGTGCTCCCCACCACGGGGCTCCCCGCCACGGTGCTCCCCGCCACGGTGCTCCCCGCCACGGTGTTCTGCAAGGCTGATCAATGTCTGGATGGCCATACTGGGGAAGGTGCTGTCCTGGAGCTGACAGCGTGGAATTCTAGGGCGCTCTCACCTCTCTTATTTCAGACTCAGGGGTCAGGCTGGCTGTGGGATGGGCTTTCCCTTGCACACCCAGGCTGCGTGCGAGTGTGTGCAGGGCATGACTTGCACAGGCCCTAGGCAGTGAAGGACCCAGGCCATGGAGTCTGTCCTCCTGGTAGCTGTCTCCACTTGAGAGCCAGGGAGGAAGGTGGAGCTTGGGACCACGCTCCACCGAGGGCAGCTCCATCAGAAGGGGCCTGATGTCTGTGGCTGACCGGCATCGGGCTCTGACATGATTGGCAAAAGAGGAGTTAGTCGACTGGAGTTCTGAGAGCAGAGCTGTTTTCCTTGATTCTGGGAGAACTGTGAAGAGATGATGGGGCGTCTGGTGGGTTCCTATACTGTGAGAACCAGAGGAGGTGATGGAGCGTCTGGTGGGTTCCTATACTGTGAGAACCGAGAGGAGGTGATGGAGCGTCTGGTGGGTTCCTATACTGTGAGAACCGAGAGGAGGTGATGGAGCGTCTGGTGGGTTCCTATACTGAGAGAACCGAGAGGAGGTGATGGAGCGTCTGGTGGGCTCCTATACTGTGAGAACCGAGAGGAGGTGATGGAGCGTCTGGTGGGCTCCTATACTGTGAGAACCGAGAGGAGGTGATGGGGCGTCTGATGCTGTGAGAACTCGAGGAGGTGATGGAGCGTCTGGTGGGCTCTGGCCATTCCTCAGCTTGGAGGACCTGCTCTGATATTTCCAAGGTTCTTTTTTTTTTTTTTTTGGGTCTGGTCATGGGGCCTGAACTCTGGGCCTGGGCGCTGTCCCTCAGCTCTTCAGCTCAAGGCTAGCGCTCTACCACTTGAGCCACAGCGCCACTGCTGACTTTCTGCTTATGTGGTGCTAAGGAATCGAAACCAGGGCCTTGAGCATGCAAGGCAAGCGCTCTACCACTGAGCCACCTTCCCAGCCCTTTCCAAGGTTCTTGGAGTTTAGTCACCTGTCCCCTTGTCTCATGCAGGGGGAGTAGGCTTAGTCACTTTGTAGGAGCAGAAGGAGGGTGCTGGAGCCAAGAGGGGCCAGGAGGAGGGGACGGGGTGGGCCAGGAGGAAGGGTAAGACTTGGTAGAGTAGGGTTGCCCTGGGCTGGGGTAGAGGTCAGTTCTTTTTTTTTTTTTTTTTTCCATCACGGGGCCTGAACTCTGGGCCTGGGCGCTGTCCCTCAGCTCTTCAGCTCAAGGTGAGCGCTCTACCACATAAGCCACAGCACCCCTTCTGGCTTTTTCTGCTTATGTGGTGCTGAGGAATCGAACCCAGGGCCTCACGCATGGGAGACAGACTCCGCCACTGAGCCACCTGCCCAGCCCCAGAGGTCAGTTCTCACTGACCTCTTTCCCTGGGGCTCCCTCACCTCTTCCGCACTGCTGTTTTTCTTCTGGAATGTTCTGAACCTTCCAAGCAAGCGTGTGCCCGTGTTGACTGCCCGTCCATGTCCCGCAGGGTGGATGAGAACCATCAGGAAGCAAGCCAAGGGGCTGCGTATAGGTGAGTCCAGCGGGCCTGTGTGTGGTCTGGCCCCGAGCCCTCACTCCGCTGCTGCTTGTAGCTGTCTTGCTCAAGTGTAGGCCGTGCTTCTGACTGCTCTGAGCCCAGACAGCCGATGCCCCCCCCCCCCCCGCTTGGCATTCATGGCTCGTGGTCCAGCCTAGTGCTAGGGTCTTCCACTCTCCTGGACTGTGACCCACCAAGACCAGGACCATCTCCACAGTGACTGCATCATCTTCTTCCATTTCTCTCTTCACCTGTCCAATGAGCAATGATGCACTCTGAACCACGCTCAGAGTTCCGCCCAGGGTTGACGTGTACCCTGGAGCTCACCACCCGGGGTGGGCATGTGCCCCTGGGCAGCAGAGTGAGCCTGCGGAGCTCGGGCTGAGGGCGTGACCGTGGGGGTTGGGCCAGAACTGCGAGCTTGCACTGAAGAGGCGGGCGAGGCACGGGGCGAGGCACGGGGGACCCTGGCAGGGGCTGGGAACGCTCAGGTCAAGGCCAGGTTGGTGACAGCCCCAGAGACACCAGCCAGCAGCCTGGTCCCGAGGGGGCGGGGTGGGAGGTGGGGGAGGGCTCCCTCCCGGGCCCGGGGTGTGGGTGTCATGCTGGACCCCTGGCTGTCCAGGGGCCTTTCTGTCCGTCACCACGGCCTGCTCTGGGGCCAAAGGGCAACGAGCAGAGGACGACGACTCCCTGTGTCCTCTCCTCAGTGCCTCGGCTTCTGTTTGAGGACTGGACCTTCGATGACTTCCGGAGCGTCTTCGACAGTGAGGACGAGATAGAGGAGCTCAGCAAGACTATGGTCCAGGTGGCAAAGGTGAGGCCTGTGGGTGTCCCAGGCCTCAGCTCAGGAGGGCTCAGAGCTCAGGCCACCCGGCCCCGGCCTCTAGCTCAGGCGGCATCCAGCTCAGGAGGGCTCCAGCTCAGGAGGGCTCAGGGCTCAGCCACCCTGCCCCGGCCTCCAGCTCAGGAGGGCTCAGGGCTCAGCCACCCTGCCCCGGCCTCCGGCTCAGGCGGCCTCAGGGCACAGCCACCCGGCCCCGGCCTCCAGCTCAGGAGGGCTCAGGCCACCCGGCCCAGCCTCCAGCTCAGGAGGCCTCTAGCTCAGGAGGGCTCAGGGCACAGGCCACCCTGCCCCAGCCTCTAGCTCAGGAGGGCTCAGGCCACCCTGCCCCGGCCTCCAGTTCAGGAGGGCTCAGGGCTCAGGCCACCCTGCCCCGGCCTCCAGCTCAGGAGGCCTCCAGCTCAGGATGGCTCAGGGCACAGGCCACCCTGCCCCGGCCTCTAGCTCAGGAGGGCTCAGGGCTCAGGCCACCCGGCCCCGGCCTCTAGCTCAGGAGGGCTCAGGGCTCAGGCCACCCGGCCCGGCCTCCAGCTCAGGAGGGCTCAGGGCTCAGCCATCCTGCCCCGGCCTCCAGCTCAGGAGGGCTCAGGGCTCAGGCCACCCGGCCCAGCCTCCAGCTCAGGAGGGCTCAGGGCTCAGGCCACCCGGCCCTGGCAGTTAACACCTGTCACTGCAGCTCTCCAGCCACCCGCCACGCTCTCGGGCCCCACAGGGCCTGTACTTGGCTGCTGTGGCCTGGCTTTCTGCGCTGGCATTTGCATTACAGCTCTGTCTTCCAAGAGGGTGGCTTGGAAGGGCACGGCATGGCTCCTGACCGCAGTAGTCCTCGGGGTGGGAGGTCCCTTACCGCCTGGAGCAGGGGGTTTCTGTTGACCAGACCCCTCTTCTGTTCTGCTTGAAGCCCACATCTGCTGGCACGGTGTGCCTGGCTGCAGGGGTGGAGGGAAAAGGGTGGGCAGAATGCGGGAGTGCCCCGGCCGGAGCCCTCCCTCTGGTGTGTGCCGCAGGGTTGGAGCAGGACCTTGGCAGAGGTAGCTCCGTGGCTGTCTCCTCCTCACGTCTTGTGGGCACCTGATTCCTCATCTGCTCCTGTTCCTTGCAGAACCAGCATTTTGACGGCTTTGTGGTGGAGGTCTGGAGCCAGCTGCTGAGGCAGAAGCACGTGTGAGTGGAGAAGCGGGTGGCTGTCCCGAGCTGGCAGAGTTTCGGGGAGACCTCAGGAGAGGGAGGCTGTGGGGAGGGGGGTCTTCCTCCAGCAGCCTCTGCTCCTGCGGGGGACAGGACCCGAGAAGGGGGCCTGCCTGCTCCTAGAAGCTGGTATGGCCGAGCCGGACACCCCGGTCTGGTAAAGAGAGGGTGGACTTGTGCAAGAGGCCAGCTTGCTGGAAAGCAGACACCTCCCAGCTGAGCACAGGTGTGCCTGCTGAGAGGAGGCGGGTGGGCAAGTGCAGGCCTGAGGTGTGGCCGTCCCAGTGTTCTCCGGGGAAGGGTGGGCTGGCCCGGCCGGAGCTGTCACACCGTCACCCGTGCAGGCCTGAGGTGTGGCCGTCCCAGTGCTCTCCGGGGAAGGGTGGGCTGGCCCGGCCGGAGCTGTCACACCGTCACCCGTTGGCCCCACGGCCACTGTCCCCCCCATGGGCCCCCACAGCCCCTGAGGCATACCACCCCCTCTTTCTTTTTTATTTATTTATTTTTTATTTGTGAACATACTGTACAGAGGGGTTACAATTACATGGGCAAGATAATGCATACATTTCTTACCAAGCATTGCAGCCTCCTCCTTTGGTTTACCCTTCACATCCTGTCCCAGCCTCCCCCCACCACCCCCTCTTTCTTTCCTCTGCTGTCTCGAGAGTGTTGAGTGTGTGGGGCCACGCCATGCACTGCCACTGAGGTGCCCACCCTCCCCTGGGCTCCTGTAGTTCACAGCTGGGGTTGGGGTGAGTCACAGGCTCCAGTGAGCCGCAGGAGCCTGGGGCAGCGAAGTAAGCCTACAGGGCCCAGGAGCTGAGGAGGGCAGGGCAGGGCGGGGCGGGGCGGGGAGGGGGAGGGGCAGGGCAGGAAGGGGCAAGGCAGGGAGGGGAGGGGCAGGGTGGGGAGGGGTGGGGAGGAGGGGCAGGGCAGGGCGGCTGGGACTCAGGAGGGAGGCAGGACCTTCTTCCATAGCTGTGCCAGACTTGGGGTCTGCCTACAGAACGCAGCAAAGGAGCACCTTCCTGCCGGGGTGGAGCACGTGCTGGCTCGGGTGCGTCCTTGGTAGAGGCTGGCGCAGCCCACTGTAGGTACCGGGGCAGCAGAGTCCTGTAGCCGGCCAGCCGGCCCTTCAGCCATAGCTGAGCGCTTTGGAGTCAGCTTTCTTTCTCCGGCTCAGGGTTGGCAGAGGAGGCCCCAGATGAGGTCCTGGCTCGCCTGGCATCCCTGTGGCTGGCAGGAGACTTGCAGATCTTAGCTCTGCCATGTGGGGGCAGCATCCCAGCCCTGCACAGTGCTCCCGTCAACAAGGGCCCTGGCACAAGTTGCTCAAGGCCCACCCCCGAGTCCTCCTCCTCCTGCCTCCCCACCCCACAAACTCCCCAGGGAGGGAGTCCCCCATGGAGACAGCTCCGCCACCTGCCAGCCTTCCTGCCAATCCTGGACTGCATGCCCACTGATCTGAGCTCTGCCTGCATCCGCTTCCATCTCAGCGCATTAACCATGCAGGGAGCAGCCTGTGTGGGTGTCTGGGCTCCGCGCTGAGGCCTGGGCAGGAAGTCATGGAGCCTGGATAAGTGAGAGGCCGCAGCAGGGGGTCCTAGTGACGGAGACACTGCTAGCTCCAAAAGCCAGCCTGTCCGGCGTTGGCGTGGGGCCGCCTTCCACAGTGAGCCCCGCTGTGTCAGCCATGAGAGCAGTGGTTGGGAGCTCCTGCCCTGCCGGCTTCTATGGCTCTCCCTCCCCCCACATCTGTCCTGGATTGCAAAGCCAGATCATTCTGGCAACGCTGTGCTCCATATGGACACTTGTCCTTGGTCCAGGTGGTAAAGTGAAATGGCTTAGGGTCTCCATGACACATGGCCCCTCCGTCCCCCAGGGAGTGGAGAGGCACCCAAGAACTGTCTGACAGCTCTGGGCTTCAGATTAGCATCTGGCCCCACGTGGAGACCACCACACCTGATGGATGGGAGGGGGGGCGGGACAGGCAGGGGGGGGGACTGGACCGCCCAGGCTGCCCAGGAGTTCCTGACTCCCCTGACCTCACACCAAAGTCTCCAGGGGAGAGAGGGGGCCCTTTATCTCCCTGAAGCCCCCAGCAGAGGGCTGGAGCCCCTGGAGAGGGTGGTGCCCGGGTTTGCAGAGCTGGCCTGGTCTTATCCCAACAGACAGCCAAGGTCCTGTGGTAGCCCTCCCAGCACGCCAGAGGCCGGTGGTGTGATGGGCTTTCCCCAAAGCAGCGGACTCTGAGGGCATCTGCTCTTCAGCTAACCCTCACCCACCCCTGAGAGAGGCCAGGCCCCTGGGGGGGGAGGGGGAGGGGGGCAGCTAACCCTCACCCACCCCTGAGAGAGGCCAGGCCCCTGGGGGGGGAGGGGGAGGGGGGCAGCTAACCCTCACCCACCCCTGAGAGAGGCCGGGCCCATGGGGGGGGAGGGGGGCAGCTAACCCTCACCCACCCCTGAGAGAGGCCGGGCCCGTGGGGGCGGGGAGGCAGCTAACCCTCACCCACCCCTGAGAGAGGCCGGCCCGTGGTGGGGGTGGGGGGCCAGCTAACCCTCACCCACCCCTGAGAGAGGCCGGGCCCGTGGGGGTGGGGAGGCAGCTAACCCTCACCCACTCCTGAGAGAGGCTGGGCCATGGTGGGGGTGGGGGGGCAGCTAACCCTCACCCACCCCTGAGAGAGGCCGGGCCCGTGGGGGCGGGGAGGCAGCTAACCCTCACCCACTCCTGAGAGAGGCTGGGCCGTGGTGGGGGTGGGGGGGCAGCTAACCCTCACCCACCCCTGAGAGAGGCCAGGCCCGTGGCGGGGAGGGGGGGCAGCTAACCCTCACCCACCCCTGAGAGGCCGGGCCCGTGGGGGGGGGGAGGGCTGGTGGGGGGAGGGAGGGCTGGCAGCCCTGGCCCACGTGTTTGCGTTCCAGGTTCTGGCTGTGTGCACCGGCCGCCAGGCACAGGCTCGGAGACAGCTTACCCAGGGTCTGAGGACACAGTCCTCAGTGGTCCCTCGCAGCAATCCCCGTCCCAGAGCACTGTCCTCTGGAGGCCAGCTCCAGCCTCTTCATGAGGTCGGACTCCTCATGGGAAGTGCCCCGGTTTCCTGAGGCCCTAAAAGTGGCCGTCGGTGTGCTCCAGCCTGGGAAAGCGGCCCGCCACTGTCGAGCACAGGCAGGAGGGTCCTCCCCCGGAGGGGCGGCCTTCCTGCCCATTACCTAGAGGTGGGAAGCAGATGGGTGGCGGCCACCTCTGGTTGGACACCTGTAAGGCCCAGTACCCCAGCTGGCACGCCGCCGGCTCGGCATGCCCGTGTGTGTGTCTGTCTGTCTGTCTGTGTGTGTCTGTGTGTCCGTGTGTGTATAGCTACTCGCCATACAGACACCAGGCCAAGGAAGGAAGGCGGTGTGCGGAACTCAGGCGCCCCCCATCCCTTGTGGCCTGGGTTCTCCCACTGGAACCACAGACCCTCAGGGTGGAAAGTGATAGCCTAATCTGGGCCACATCAGAAAGAAAGCAGCCACTCCTGTGCAGTGGTCAGCCATCGCTGGGACCCAGGCCTCGCCCCTGCTCTGCAGAGCTAGGGCAGGGCAGGGCGGCGGGCCTGGCACGGGGTGACACCGTGGGTCTGCTCCTGAGGCCAGCGTGGAGGTAGCATGCCAAAGCTGACCTTGCAGCCAAGGTGCCGGGACCCCGGTTGCGGTCCACCTTTCCCCACCGGGACGGGAGCCCGGGATGGGCAGGCCACAGGGCGCAAGGCCCGCATCAGTCCTGGAGGTGCACCAGCACCCTCCCCTCACTGCCTAAAGCCCCGCCTGGTGTGGACTGTGCGCCCTGCGGTGTCGCACAGGCTGAGGATGAGCGGAGACGCGGGGTGATGGGACCGCGCCCATGTCGGGGTCCCCGCTCTGCTTCCCAGCACGCTGAGGCCTGGCACCGATCCCGCTCTCCTGGCCCCTCCCCAGGCCCCTGGCCGGGCTGCACCCGGGGGTGGGGTAAGGAGCCCCGTTGACGGGCCTGGCTCTGCTCTCGCGGGGTTGATCCGGAGAGCCGGTGGTGCTCTGGGCCAACCCCGTGTTTTGGTTCTTGTAGGGGTCTCATCCACATGCTCACCCACATGGCGGAGGCCCTGCACCACGCCCAGCTGCTGGCCATCCTGGTCATCCCCCCTGCCGTCCTCCCGGGGTAAGTGCCGTCCCCCTCCTGCGGATGGGCAGCCCCTTGGGCACTGCTGAAGAGTGCAGGCCTCTTGTTAGCGTGAGCTGCGCCTCGCTTTTTTTTATTTTGTTTGTTTGTTTTTTTTTTTTGGTTCGGTTGTAGGGCCTGAACTCTGGGCCTGGGTGCCATCCCTCAGCTCTTCAGCTCAAGGCGAGCGCTCTACCACTTGAGCCACAACGCCACTTCTGGTTTTCT